CTTCATAAAAGAATAAATTCTCCCTGCGTTCCTCTGCGGGGCAACATGAGTGGCATATTTGTAACATGTGGTCAGCTGCTGGAAATTATTAGTTAGCAAGCGAATAGAACTGAGCGCTTTTCGTGTTTTCTCAAAATTGCGAGAATTTTTGAATAAATAGCGACTACTAAATCTAAAATTTTAATTAAAAGCATGCATACTGATAACGACGTACTATCTGTACGTGCGAAGAGACAGCGCAATGCATGTACTATTGAAACAGAAAGTCAGCGGGAGGCGCGCCTGATGCAAAATAGGGTTAGGAACCATGCGCGCCGGTTTGAAGCCAGCCAACATTTGTGGCGTGAAAAAAAGCTTTCGGGTATGCGCTACGATGCTGCGATTGAATATGCAAATGACCAATATATTTCAATTGGAAATATGTCAATTGTTTGTAGTTTTTGTTCTGCCAAAAGATATCCAGGTGAATCAGTTGGCATGTGCTGCCTTGGTGGAAARGTCTATTTAGAAGAAATCCCTCCTCCACCCGAACCACTAAAGTCCTTATTAACAAGTAATCATCCAAAATCGACTCAYTTTTTGCAAAATATACGGAACTACAACAATGCATTCCAATTTACTTCATTTCGGAGTAATCAAATTGTCGAGCGTGGTTACATGCCTACGTTTAAGATACAAGGGCAAGTTTACCACTTAGCAGGTAGTTTGTTTCCGGAATTAGACTAAGGGCATCAATTCCTCCAAATTTATTTTATTTCAGACTCTGAAGCACAAGCGTCCGTAAGATGTAGTAGAGCAGCGCAAGTAGTTGATAAAGGAGTTGTAAGGGTTTTGCAAGACATGTTGCATGAACATAACGCATATATTTCATCATTTAAAACTGCATTAGAAAGTGTTCCACCAAGTAATTATTCATGCAAATAAAGTGCCTGTCGGAAGTCATCCTGGTCGATACAATGCACCATRTACCAGTGAAGTTGCGGTCATGATAACTGGTCAAGAATTTAATAAAAGGGACATAATTTTAAAAYGTCGGTGCAACAATTTAGTTCGAATTTCTGAACTTCATCGCAGTTATGATAGTCTCCAATACCCACTAATATTTTGTCGCGCTGAAAACGGTTACTACACAAATATTCCACAAATTGATCCTGATTCGAAAGAGCCTCTCTCAAAAACAGTTTCCTGCATGAGCTTTTATTGCTACCGTTTAATGGTAARGGAAAATTTGTTCAACCCGATTCATAAGTATGGAATGTTAATGAATCAGTCATAGTTGATCAATACGCTAAAATTGAGACAGAGCGTCTGGCGTATTTACGAAATAACCAAAAACAGTTACGTGCAGAGAACTATATTCATTTGAAGGATGCTTTAAAATCAAATGAAGAACCAAATCAAATTGGTCAATTAGTTATTCTCCCTGCAACATTCACAGGCGGCTCTAGATATCTTCATGAAAAAACGCMAGATGCTATGACTTATGTCAGGAATTATGGAAAGCCTGATTTCTTCATAACAATTACATGCAACCCTAACTGGGAAGAAATTAAAACCAATTTAGATTTAGAAACTGTTGTTCAACAGCGCTATGATATTATCAATAGAGTTTTTAACTTAAAAATTAAAAAGCTGTTAAAATTAATAACAAAGCTCATATATTTGACCCGCCTCAGTGCCATATGTATACTGTGGAATGGCAAAAGCGTGGACTTCCACATGTGCATCTATTGCTTTGGTTAAAAAATAAGATAACAGCAAATCAAGTTGATAGTGTTATTTCCGCCGAATTACCGAATAAGCAATGCGATCCAATTTTGCACGATTTGGTAGTGAAGCACATGATACTTGGACCATGCGGTGCTTTAAACCCTAACGCCCCATGTATGAAAGAGAACCACTGTATAAACAAATATCCAAAAGCTTTTCAAGATACCTCATCCTGTGGGGATGATGGATATCCAAAATATGGCCTTTTATCCCTAGCAGAAGGATTTCAAATGGCATCGTTGCGCACCTAAGGATGCTTTTACATAAAGTCGAAGGCCCAACTTCTTTCCAATTTTTGAAAACTGTTCAAGGTAGGGCTTTTAGTTCCYATCAAGCAGCCTGCAAAGCTTTGGGTTTGTTGGAAGATGATTCACTTTGGGAACAAACGCTACTGGAAGCAGAAATTAGTGCTTCGTCTGTTTCGATGCGATATTTATTTGCTGTAATTTTGTCTTTTTGTCAAGTTTCGGATTCTGTCGAACTTTGGAATAAATTTAAAGAAAGTATGTCAGAAGACATATTCCAAAGAAAAAAACGAGAAGCTGGTAATCAAAATTTAGGCTACAATCAATTAATTTTTGATGAGGCTTTGTGTGACCTTAACAAAATTTTAATKTCTCTTTGCGGTAAAACAGTTACCGATTTTTCCCTTGCATTGATAACTGACGTTAACACTGTCAATAATAGACTATACGAGAGAGAAAAATCATATGATCAACATCAACTATTTGAACGTATGAAGATAAGCTTAATTCAGAACAAAAAAGTATATACAATTTAGTTTTGAGTTCTGCTTTTAATTGTGAGGGTAAAATATTCTTTCTTGATGCCCCTGGGGGTACTGGAAAAACTTTCTTATTAATTTACTATTGGCAAAAGTTCGGTCTTTAGGGAAAATCGCSTTAGCTGTTGCATCCTCAGGCATAGCAGCAACTCTTCTCGATGGAGGAAGAACTCCTCATTCAATATTTAAAGTAAATAAGCAAAATTTGCAACATTCCTAAACAAAGCAGTACTGCTGAGATTATGCAAGACTGCCCGCTTATAGTTTGGGATGAAGCTACAATGGCTCACAAATCAGGAGTAGAGGCTTTAGATAAAACATTGCAAGATCTACGCAACAAAGTTTCACCTATGGGTGGATGCACAGTACTATTTTCTGCAGACTTTCGTCAAATTTTGCCCGTGGTTCCTAGGGAAACAAGGGCAGATGAGGTAAATCCGTGCTTGAAAAGATCGAAGTTGTGGAAACATATCTATAATGTCCAATTAAAAAAGAACATGAGGCTGACCCCAGGTCTAGAAAATGAAATTTTCGGTAAGACACTACTGCAAATTGGTCATGGGCAAATGACAGACAAAATCTGTAAAGCAGACATAAATGAAAGTCTTTGTGTACCTGTTAAAAACCTTGAAGAACTTATAGAAAAGGTCTATCCAGATATTTCAAATGTAAGTGGGAAAACATTGGATTGGTTTAAGGAGAGAGCTATTTTAACTCCAACAAATGACGAATGTTATGTAATTAATGACATGGTTCAATGCAAATTTGACGCCCCTAATAAGACTTACTATTCAGGCGACACAGTTGTCGATTCTGAGCAAATAATTCATTTTCCAACCGAATTTCTTAATTCATTAAATAAGTCTGGCGCACCTACGCACAAACTTAGTCTTAAACTAGGCTCACCAGTTATTTTTTTAAGAAACCTATATCCACCAAAACTTTGTAACGGCCCCCGCTTGGTCATACTATCTTTCAAAAATTATTTAATAGATTGTAAGATTGGATGTGGCGCTGGAGATATTGTATTAATAACCCAGAATAATAAAACTTTATTTCGCTATGACAATAAACAAATCTCAAGGCCAAACATTAGAAGTTTACCTAAGTATCAATTGTTTCTCTCATGGCCAGCTTTACGTAGCTTTGTCGCGAGTCATTAATAAAAACAATCTTTTTATTTTATCTCCTGGAAAAAAGTTCTAAATATTGTTTACAGAGATAATTTAATATACCGGTGCACCGGTTTCAGTTTTTTTCCTCATTTTAAAGAGAATTTAATTTTAGTTTTTATGCAACTTTTCACTTAAGAATTCTTTTCATTGCAGTCAAGCCAGTTCATAAAAACTGAGAAATTTTGAAAATAACGCTTTAATTGTCATAAAACAAATAAAGAATAAAATAAAATCTCTCCTAAAAATATTTTGCTTACTGATGAACAGTAAAAATCTACGAAATTACTTAAGTTTTTTTATCTAACTTAGCTTTAGGCATAACTGGAATTAAAAATATAACTATTCCGTTAAATTGCTTTGTTGGAATCAGTTGTAAATGTTAAAGATTAAGGTGAACTAAAGAACAGTCTAAAGATTTAAGTTTATTTTTTATTTTATTAATATTTTTTTTTTGCATATTTTGACGGGCGTGGCGAAGCCTCGCGCAACCATTGCCAGCTAGTGTAATATAAATGTACAGTATTTAAATAGAATATATGTACAAGGTGTGTTCCAAAGTAAACATGGCTTAAAAAAAAAAATGATATTTCGGCAAAATCAATTTATTTTATTCAAAATAGTGTTCTTCTGCTTCAATACATCTTTTTGCACGGTCCAAAAGCATGTCGAACGAGTGTTTTAGCTCGTTAGCCGGTATGGCCGTCAGTATGCCGGTGCAAGCCTTTTGAATGGCGTCTGCATAACACTTTCTTTTCATGGGCAAATGCATTTTTCCGAAAAGTCGGTGCCATATCATATGAATACGGGGAGTGATTAATGGGTAAAATGTGATTTTTTGTAAAATAATCGTCCTTCGATTGTTGGATTCTGAGCAATTTTTAGTCGTCTGTCAATTTGTGCGGAACACACCATGCACACACCTCTCTTTAGCCCAAATGTTCGGTCAAAAGGCGATAAATCGATGTTTTGGAGATCTTCAATTCTATTTCCATGAATTTCAACGATGATTTAGCACGCGTTTCGACGGAATTTCAGGTGATCACGGTTTATTTATGAAATAAAATAAAATAAATAATTTGTTTATATTTATTTTTAATTTTAGTATGTACATATAATATTTGCAAGTAATATCATATCTATTTCCATTTTTTGTTTTTGTAACAAACTATTTAAAATCTTGTTTTAACTTAGCAGTTTTGTTAATATATTTAATAATATTGTAGTACAATTGGTCTTCAGCAACTATGCTGTTTTCAAGCATCAGTCGCGTCAATATTGAACGTGCTATTCATGATATACGACTTGATTTAATGGAATAAGTGCTCCAAAATTGGGTTAATCGAATTCGTTCTTGTAAAAGAAGTGAGGCCATTTAAATAATGTTATGTTAGGAATATAATTGTATCAATTGTACTTCAAATTGAATAAAAAGCATTTGAACTTCCTTAACACTTAGTGAGTGTTTTTTAAAGGAATCATATCACTCTTACTGGAAACCCCTGAACATAAATATGTATATCCAAAATTGTACATATATTATGAACGTTTATCTGTATTTATGTATATACTTTTTAATTAACTAATGTCCAAGTCTTCGTATTTCTTGACATAATTTTTTATACTCAATCTCCATGGCATTTCTTGTAGATTCAATAATTTTATCCATATCCTCTACAGCAGATCCAGCTGTATGAATTTCAGGTAAGATGTGAATGATGGCGTGTCCTGGACGGAACGTTTTCTTCTCACGATTTAAAAAATTATATTTAGATATAACAACAGGTTGGATAGGACATTGACATTGAAGAGCAATATGGAAGGGACCTTTTTTGAATGGCAGTAATGTTTCTTTAATGTTGCGCGTGCCCTCTGGGAAGAATAATAGTTTACAATTCCGTTCCTGGATAGCCTTGGACTCTTTCTGCAGTGCACTGATGGAATCCTTCTTGCTGGAACGATTAATAAAAAGAGTCCCCCACAGCCAAGCACCGAACCCAAAGAAAGGAAAGAAGAGAACTTCTTTTTTTGACACTACCGTTGCTCGCCCAATTACTGGCCATAAATATGCTAAACCTGTGAAAATTTAAAACAAAATTACCATATACGTATGTATACGTATATCACAATGATGTGTATACATAAAAGAGAGAAGTAATCATACCGCACAAATCAAAGAAGCTTTGATGATTGATAAGCACAACAGCGCCGTGTTCCGCCCGAATATTTTCAAGACCTCGTACCTCCATTGTAATGCCCAACGCTTTGCAAAACTGTCGACAGCCCCATGCAGGTATACTGTTCAGTGAAACACATTTTTTTGAAATATTTTTATAATAAAAACATTTTTTTTATCAGAATTAAGCATTATATATAACAGTGTATTGTGTTTTACTTACAGCGCGTTTCGATAGTCCCGCGGCTTAAGCATCATGAGAGGTATGCAAATAAGTACGATAGTACCAGAACCAATAATGAAAATTGCCATTTTAAGCTGATGTGGGGACTTGGAGAAGAAACTTAGGATGAGCGCCAAGAGACACGCCAGACCAACCCATACACAACCCATTGTATATTGCTAAAATTTTAGTTCCTTTTGGCAAATAAATATCTTATTTACATAATATAAAATACTATACATATCTAGTATCGATGAAAAATGCTATGAAAAGAAAAAAAAAATTAAAATATAAATAGAAAACAAGGAAGGAAGGGATAAGTTCGGGTGCAACCGAACATTTTATAATCTTGCAACTGACAAAAATCAAAGCCAAGGAAAGACTTTAAGGTGAAAAAAATCATATAGAGTAAAGTCAGCCGGATGTTCGAAAATCCTGATATTAGTTATATAGGGGCTAGGCCAAGTTTTCGCTCAAATTTATCAACAGGTATTTTAGGTAAAAATATACACTGTTATTAGAAAAACACGCTCTCTTATTTTCATTGGTATAACTCACATATTGGCCGATATATGCGGTACAATGTCTCCCGAAGTTCAAAAATCTTTATATTAAGTATATGGGGGCTAAGGGAAGTATTAGTCCTATTCAAACTATGTTTGACATACAGACATATCATTATAAGAGAAGTATTACCCCTTAATTACAGTTATCTATATCACACTTTGACCTACTAATTTTTGGTTATAAAGTGGCACATAGCTAAAATAGCAAAGTTTTATGCCGTTATATTAATTGTTGTCAGATTTCGTCCATTTTCACAATGTGATATAAGAGTGTAGGAGGAATGTCACGTACTAAATTTTGTCGAAATCGGTTTGTCGGGTCCCGATGGGATTTCACAAAAAACTAGCCTGTGCCACGCCCATCGTCCAATTTTCACTTAGGCTCCCATAGAGCACTCTTATAGTATATCGGTAGTAAAATTTAATGTCTCTAGTGTATTTAGTAATTAATTTATCGCGCTTTTAGTAGTTTTTAACAATACCGTTATATGAGTGAACGGGGTTATCGACGGATTTCATCCATTTTCACGTTAGGTGTTCTTATAAGATTTGTACTCAGCAAATTTGGTTATTGTAATTTTTGCTCTCCAACTCGTTAATGAGAGCAATTATAAGAAATATTTATATTCATTCCAGAGCCGGTATTGGATCAGCAGTGGAAACTGCGCAGGGTTGCTAGATTTACGGCTTATCAGAAAAATCTTACAACCATCCACGAAAATGTTACAACTTTTCACTGTAAATGCATATGTATCATTGTAGAAGCCTAGAAACTGAAGATACACTACTTGAAGTAGTAGAGAAATAAAAAATATGTAATGGTAAAAAGCGTTATTATTAACTCAATAATATTTGACTAATTGTATTAATATATGTACATATATTAAAATTGAGCAATTGAGCTAATGTAAAAATAACTTAGTATTTATTTTAATAATTTTTGAAATGTCTCCGTGTGAGTTTTTTCTACTTCCAAAAACAAATAGAACCTTAAAAGTCTGCCGTTTTACAAGATAGATGAAAACCGCTGAAAGAGGTACAACTAAACCAAAAACGACCGCTGGCATAAGTACATAATACCGAATACGGACTATTTTGAAGTCAAATGAATAAATACTTTTTTTAAACCAAAAATCTTGTTATTTTTTGAAAACACCTGGTATAATTAAAAAATATACGCAATATTTTTGAACATACGCTAAACCAGTATTCGAATCAGATGTTTTATAATGAAAACAATCTTATTCTATTTAATATTGTAGCTTTTAATTTATTGGAAGAAAAAAATAATGAAAAAATTAAAAGGATATTTTCCTTTTAAGATATCATAGCAAAGTACTTGATGATCCCCGGATTGCAAGTGAAACTTAACTTGCTTTTACTTGTACACTTGTACTTACATATTATGTGCACATATATAAATATGTATGTATGTATATACTTGCTTACTTTGCAGGTTTCTGTTGCATTGCCGACTAAATAATTTTTTTTCTAAAAAGTCAATAATTGTAGAATTTTTTGTTTTATTCTTATATTTTCCTACATAGAAATAACGATGGGTTAATTCGTAACAATAAAATAAACTAATTTCTTATCTTACATTTCAATTCTGTCAGGGCCAATTTTAAGTTCAATGACACCTAAAACCGATAATATTTCTTTTTCGAACAAGAAACCAATAATATCCGAATTCATATCACCTACTACATATTTTACCGATTTCAATTCCGATTCAACAGCCATCAGATTCCCACAACATCTTTGAATAAGTAAAACTTATTTTCATTTAGATCAAACTTGAGTTACAATTTTGATCCTTTTTTGAATGTCTTGTCCATAATATCTCTATGTTGCTTACACACATTTTTTGTCTCTTTTTCAGTAGCGATTTAAATTATATATACATACTTTAGTCGTGAAAGTAGTTGTAAACCAGTTTTATACTCTTGCAACCAGTTGCTACATATTATTATAGTTTTGTTCAACTAACGGTTGTACGTATGACCTAAAACTAAGCGAGATAGATATAAGGTTATGTATATATAAATGATCAGCATGACGAGAAAAGTTGAAATCCGGTTCACTGCCTGTCTGTCCGTCCGTCCGTCCGTGCAAGCTGTAACTGGAGTAAAAATTGAGGTATCTCGATGAAACTTGGTCTGTGGGTTCTTTATTACAAAAAAAAAAAAAAAAATGTTGGGTTCGTAGATGAGCATAATCGGACTACTGCCATGCCATAATAATATTAAAATTATATTTAACATACATCATAACGGACTATCGGCCAGTTAAGTTCTGATTTTTTGTTTTTTATTTGTGAATAGTTTGTTATGTTTGTATTGGAATACGACGTCAAAAATATGGGTCATACGTATACCATTGTCGCCCACTGTAAATCATGACTTATAGCGATTCAAAAGGCAGAGAGTTTTAGTAATGCCAAAGCACCCAGTCTCGATGGTACTCCAAATAAGACCTTAAGCAGTGTGTACAAAAAGCTGTTTTCCCGAAAACTTGGAAAATGCAGCTCCTGCTCTCGTTTATAAGCTACTTAAGCACTTAATGAAATAAGACTAGAATTTTTCAGATAGCCAACACGTAATTCGTAAGTAGAATTCACTTTTGGATGTGATTAAAAAGCTCACCATTTCATTGATTCGAAGTGAATTTATGGCGTTTTAAGTGTCAGTATGTTTGTGTTATCAGTGCGAAAATGAGCTTCGTACAAAAAGCCAACATTAAATTTTGTTTTAAAATTGGTAAAACTTTTACCGAAACGATTCAATTGATTAAATAAATTTATAGCGATGATTGCCTATCTCGTAGCAGAATGCACGAGTGGTTTCAATGTTTTCAAGATGGTCGTGACGACATAAATGATGAAATCAACATGTGGGCCAATCAAAATCCGTGATCACCGGAAATTCCATCGAAACTGTACGTAAATTCATCAAAAAATAAGTCATCATTGTAATTCGTGGAAATGGAATTGAACATCTCCAAAGCATCGATTTATCGCCTTTTGACCGAACATTTGGGCTAAAGAAAGGTGTGTTCACAGTTTGTTCCGCACAAATTGACTGACGACTAAAAATTGTTCAGAATCCGTCTCATCGATCGACGCTTGTGACCGATAATTTGACCAAATTCACATTTTAACCATTAATCACTCCCCGTATTCACCTGATATGGCACCGTGCGATTTCTTCCTTTTCGGTAAAATGCATTTACACATGAAAGGAAAGCGTTATGCAGACGTAGAGGCTTGCACCGGCATACTGGCGGCCATACCGGCCAAAGACTTGAAACACTTGTTCGACATGTTTTTGGACTATGCAAAAAGTTGTAATGAAGCAGAAGGAGACTATTTTGAATAAAATAAATTGATTTTCCCGAAAAAAACCATTTGTTTTGTTCAAAAGTTTTTAAAGTGCTGTTTACTTTTTAATGCATCTTGTTTCAAACAAAATCACGAAGATAAGTACGAGAATGAAATCATCGCAATTCCCGTTTGTATCGTCCGTGAGCTCAAAATGTTACAGTGAACAACCTTAGATTTGCTTTTCAAACGATGAACTAACAAAACATTCACAGATCGACAATAAGCTCTAGTATGGTTTGCATGAAATCGGCTTACATTTACTCCTATTTCCTTTTTATCCTGTATAAGTCAATAAGCAAAGTATATTAAAATTAGTAGTACTAATAACGATATCCCGTGAGCATTTGGAAATATTTCATATGCACTTTTATTGATTTGCATTATATCGGTTGCAAGATATATTTTTCCAAACATTTTATTATTTACACGGTATAAAAAAGTCCGAAACAAGGAATAAACAATTGAATTGTAATGAAAATAGGCCTTTAAATGTTTACTAAATCACCACAAATATATTAAAAATAAATCAAGTCACAAATGGATGTACATATGCCATAGTTTGCCATTTAGTATATTTAAACAAAATTCGTGGATTGTTATCTTACATGTAATGAATGAAAAAACTTAATCGATTTTTTATCATAAAACAAATACACAATATGCTCACATTCATACATACATATAATATATTAGCATATATATGGACTGTATATGTTTGTGATATAAATACATAAAAGAATCACACTATTTTCAACGATTGACTTTTTTTACTTACTAACGCTAATCTAGTCAGTTTAAAAATTTCAGCGATCAGACAGAAACTTAATATTAATAACTCGTACGACGGTAGTCCCCCAGACTAGCACCATAATCCATCGAATGTTCAACCAATACTGAGCATTTTGTTTTAGGATTGTGGTAGTTTTCGCTATCGACTCACCTACAACAACATACAACGCTTATCGCGGAAGCCGTTTTTTTGGTTTAAAGAAAGTAAGAAAAAATTTGTTTTATAAGAAATTCTCACCGTTTCCATTGTCTCATACGATTTTAATTCATTTTGGAAATATTCATTTGTACAAACAGAATTCCATATATTTGTACGTATATTCATATATAATTACAAATGCGAGTAGGTCGTATCGGAACAATACTGAGTTTGTGACTATCAACGGATATGTCATGGGTTCAAATCATAATAGATGTAAAATCCGGTGACCACACAGAAGCCAATATCAAAATCTATTTCCATTTGTGAGGTGAGACTTTTTTGGACGATCAGTCGAAGACAAATTAGAGTTTTTATTTCCTTACATTTCTCAAACATCACAAATAATAGGAAAAGCTCGGCCTTACAAAAACCATTAAAGTTTTTGCGTTGTTGTTGTTAAATGCACATACTGTAACCAGTAAAAGATTAATACATACATATATATATATATATATACATATATATATATATGTACATACATAGGCACTTTTTATATTGTAGAAAATTACTTAATTATGTGGGATTTGTACTTTGAATAGTTGATATTATACTTACATAAGTTAAAGAGTGCAGGAAAGTAACAATCGCAGTCATTAATAGCAAATCATTCGACATTTACTTGAATTGCTGTCATACCCTTGTGTTCATTAGTACATACAGACATAGATATGTATATATAGTATTAATAAGTACATGTTTCGCACAACAGTTTTCAATGGTATGTGCATTATATTTTCGAAGGCGTAGAATGGGCATCGACCCCGATAGCTAAGGCTAAAATTTAGAATCAAATTAAACTTTTTATTCGAATTTAAATTTTTAAACTTTTAAGTAAGTTTTTACATTATAGTTCGGTTACCATACAAGCATTGATGTATATATTTATGCATTCATATAAAGTTTAACAAAAAACGTGCACGGCGAATTGTAATATCAACAGCCATAAAAGTTTTAATTTGGAAAATTTTTGAAAACTGTTGTGAAAAAATTAGTACATATCGTTGGCTATGTACATATATAATATATTGAATAGATATAAATTTTATTCATGCAACCGAGTTCACACCATATATCGGTCAATAAGTGAGAAATCTTAAGAAAAATTTGATCACATTATTTCGACTAGTTTTGGCAGCATGATGGAGTGATTTGCATTATATCGGACGTTTTTATCCTTCATTTTGTACTCGTCATAATGTATATCACTAAGAAAAGTGGACTTTATCTTTTCATAACCCATAAACCAAATAAAGAATTTTAAATTTATCGGCTCACTTTAACGATTATTATATGAAATATCTCAACAAAGTTCAATCAAACTGCTTTATGACATATATACTGATTTTCATTAGCATGGTTGACATTATACAAAATATTCTAGGTAATGAGCAAGGCATCGTTACCAATAGTACATGTTCATCATCGATTTTGCCACACAATCTCGCTTAATTAAAAAAATAGACATTCATAACACGCAAAGTCAAATTAAGAGGTCATCAAAAAATGATGATGTTTGTAATTTCAACGTAATCATTCGTAGTAGACTGATAGTGACATGTTTCACGTGTTAAATTCAAATTTAAATAATGCCTCATAAATACCCTACTGGAAAAACACTATGAAAGAAATCCCCTTATATTAGCATTCTAATTAAATTTTGTCATTGATTTAATTCCCAATCACATGGATAAGGAAGTAAAGCAGACTACAATTTTCTTGGGAAAACATGTCATTATTTTTCTAAGCAGTGTCGTTGTTCACAAAATGTACTAGAAAATAATGATAAAAAAACTTTCTAAAAAAACACTAATTTTACATTTTATTCTATGAATGACCTTAATAATGCAAAACTTGGTGGTTAGTCAATCACAGATGTTTTGTGAGGAAATTAAGTCAAATCTTTGTTTACACCCTTGTAATCTAGTCTAAAAATTAAAAAAATTATATTTTTTTTCAATACTCTGGATTTTAAAAAAAAATCTCTCTCAGAATTCACATTATTCCGAAGTTAAAGTTGAGTTGCTACCACATTAAGCAACTCGACCGGATAGCGGACGACCAAACTTAACACGCGTTTTTCTCGAGACTACTTCTTTCGATGTTCTGCTTAACCAATTTCTTTGAAATTTTATAAAAAATCTCTCTAAAAAACTTTAGTTTTAAGTACATTTAAAAAAATTCAAAAAGGTAAAAAAATGTAATGAAGATTTTTTTCAATTTACTTGTTTTAGATCACTACAAGAGTTGGAATCATAACATCCAGGAAATGCAATGTTTTTTGCAGCCCCACTCTATCCGCCAGTAATTCTAAGATTTTTTGATTTTTTTTTTATATTCTTTAAATGGTAATGAAAATTATATAAAAAGATGGATAATAACAATGTTTTTAACTTTTTAAATAAGTTTGGAAAATGTCTAAGATTTAGCTATCTTGACCTAACTTTACTAGTGAAAATGTGACGTTCCCCCTTAATTTATTTGCATTTGTTTGTGATAAAAATGCAAGAACAAATAAAATTATTCAATAAGTATTAGCATATACTTGTATTATATGTGAATTTAATATGGTAATTTGTATAAATGTGTAATTGCAATTAAAAACAAATAAGGAAGAGCTAAGTTCGGGTGCAACTGAACATTTTATACTTTTTAATTTGCAAGAATCAAAGCCAGGCTAATACCTCAAGGTAAAAAACGTAAACCAGTTAATCGGAGCCCAAGCAATTACATATTCATATAAAAGTTTTATAATAAAACTATATACATATATATGGTATAACTCATACACTGAAATATTCGGTATTACTTTGTTTGAAAATCAAAATGCATTTTACTATTATGAGCAAAAAATAGTAAGACTTTGTTCAGCGGTCGTTTGAGTTTGCTGAATAACCCAAAAGTCACACAGAGCTAAATTAGTCGAATATTGTGGTTGCGGCCGATATTTGTTGAAAATTTGCCAAAAAATAACGAAAAAGCAATGCAGTTATATGTATGAAAAATAGCTTCACGCAAACGACATACAACGTTCAAATGGTATTCCTTCTCCTGCTTTGACGTTTTTTTCGGTTTCGGCTCACCTTTGCCTCGATATTCGGCCAATTTCCGGATCGTAAACATAGATCCAAAACCCAGTAGTCGGATAGCATTTTTCCACACGTTAACGCAACGCTGTTTTAAGAAAAAATTTAGTGATTTTGGAATCAATCGTGATATCTTAGACCCAAATAATCTTTCAAAATTGTTTTCACTGATCTTTCCGATTTTCCAATGATGTTAGTAAGATCTCTGTTAATCGTTTTAATTATTAAAAAACAATTCCTTTATGGTCGACATGGACGTAGTCAACGCGTTCTTGACCCTCTGTGAATAATTTGTACCAATCAAAAAAACTCGCTCGCGACAAACACTGTACTTATACACTTTAGAAAAACTAGTTTAGCGCGAAAATTATATTAAAAAGTCTTACTGTTTTTGCCCACAGTAGTACATTTGTAGTATATTGTAGTATTGGATAGTATCGACCCAATTTTATTTATATTTGCCAAAACCACATGCTATTAACATGCCACATACTAATAAAATGTTTCGTGAGATTTATTAAGGTACCTCACATACCACTACCAATCAAGAATGATAGAGAAAGAGATTACGCAATGCGCATGTTTTCTTTCAGTCAGCTGTTCTCGCTGACGTCACGGTTGACTTATTATTCGCCCGCGCCTTTGAATGTGTATTTGAATTGTATTTTCGAGTGTAGTATTAATTGGAAAATTTTATATTTTTTAAAATGCGTTGCGCAGTGTTCGGATGCTGTAATAACAATGTTAAAAGTAGTGCTACGGAGTGGAGGTTTTTCTATTTCCCTAAGGATAGAACAGTACTAAAACAATTATGGGAGTGCACTGCACTCCAGAAGCCTCCGAAAGCAATTTGCAGTTCATAATGGGTAATTATATCATTTTGATTACAATAATTTTACGTTCATAACCAAACACTCTTCAGGAATCCAACGAAGTTACTACCTAGCACTTTCACCACGTTAAGCACTGCTCCTGCATGGACGACAGAAAAGGATGTAGTAAGATGTGTAAGAAAGGAAGAGTAAGATATGTAAACCAGGACGTTTGAGAAATTTTTGTGGCGTAATCACGTTAAAAGGCGGCCTTTACGATCACTCTGACAGGCAGGAGTTCAAGTATAGGCTGCGTTGCTATATAATTGGTCACAACGAAGGAGCGGTTACAGATGAAGGAAATGTTAAAGTCGACAACACACCAGGTTTGAAAGGGAATTACTTATCTCTAACCGGTGATTATCAAAATATTAAACGTACATAGTATTATAAACCTAAAACTACAGGATTTTAGGATTCGTTCCTTAAATAAAAACATAATTGAAAATATGTACAGCAAAAAACGAAAATTAAAAAAGACAATAAATTGATAAAATGAAATACAAAATATTCAATTTTTTTATTTGCATAAATGTACATACATATGGTTGAAAACAAATACAGCAAAGAGACAATATTAAATAATACAATTAAATGAATATGTAGGTAAATGTTCACTATAAAATATTCACTTATATTGATATCTTTTAACAATATTCGCTTATATTGATGTTAACTTTTGATGATATTAATGTTTTCGTATGCCTGTAATACAACGAAATTTGAACTCGTCATTGCGAAATATTTGTTTCTATCATTCTTGATTACCAATCATATGAAGTAAATTCACCCGGATATAACAAACATACATATAACATGTCAGATAAGGGCTAGGTCAAGTTTTAAACGGTTTTTAACTTACAGCTGTCTCACGCTGCGGGAATCCATGAATCAAATTATAGTTTTACACCCTTCTCGGATGCCAAAGAACACATGTACGAAGGTTCATTAAGATATCTTAATTTTTATTGAAGTTATTGATCACTCAGATAATACTTATAATAACCTATATCTATCTTGTCTAGTTTTGAGTTATAATATAAACAACCAGAGAACATAAAGGCATAGAGAAGGTGCAGTTCGATAGCAAGCATTTGTAAAACTTGAACCAAGGAATTCACCTCACAACCAAGGAATTCACGCTCTGAAATGTTAACATTGTTTTCAGTTCTCTCACATACTCAACCAGGAAGAAGAAATAAAAATGATAGCATGAATACCCAATGGGGGAATATTTAAGATAATCGCTTGTATGTACAATGTATGCACATATGAAGTGTGCTTTTGCGTTTTGCCCACAGCAAATCCATATTGACTTATAAAAATAATTATGATGTGAGTATATTTTTTTATGAATGCATGCATAGAGTAATATTTGTAGTCAAGTTGGACTTACATATTTAATAATTTTATTTGATTTTTACATAATATACTTTAATAATCTAATAAATATTTTTGTATTATATTTCTTACTAATATAAATTAAATTTATCACAACAATATATACATATATCTTCTATCATATTAATCTTATATACTCATGTATCTGCACGTGCTCATATGAATGTATGCACACGCATATGACTTTATCATTAAATGGGCCACACATGTGCGTTCGATCTCTATGAAATCGTTTCATCATACGCGACATACAAATCCGTTTTGCGTTCTTTTATCAAAAAGTGAATATGTGCGACAACAAGCGGAAAATTGTTCGTCCACGATCTTTTCTCTTCGGCGACGGGGGAGAAATGAGATTTTGTGTGCACAGGGCGCCATACACGATATTCATGTGTGCACACCGATCTTAAAAAATCAAACATTTTCGCGAATATGGATCGGTATGCGCGCAAGCCCATCCATTACCAATAGCAGAAACAGTGAAAAACGTAGAATCGTGGGTCGTGTCAGCTGATTCGACCTATCTTATGGGTGCGCAATGTAAGTGCCCAGTGAAAAACGTTACTCCCTTCTCTCTTTGACGTCGGATGACGTGAGAATCTACAGCATTTCGGTTTTTGCCGTGGAAACGTGTCAGCTGATTGCTCTCTCACAACACAGGGTTGCCAATATATATATACTGTTGTAATTATCAACTTTTATAATTCAATCTGTTAAATATGTTTGAAATTTTCTTAAAATAACTCAAAATCAGAGTCGAATGCTATTATTTATAAATATATAAACTATTTTTAATAGTTTGTTTTCAGTTTTGATATTTTATATTATAAAAAATT